TTTTGGCTGGTTACCTGCAATGTTGGTCTCTTTGGAATTGCAGAAGTTGGTCTGATTCAAAGGGTAAAGATGCTTTGCGCTGTTTTCAAAAGCAACTGACTTGGACTCTTTGGACTCTGGCCATCCCTTCTTCATTCTTCTCGAGTCATTTGGAAGATGGAAGATGCCATTTGGAATTTATAGGTGATTTATGGCTCAAAATGCAACTTAAGAACAGAGATGCCAACTATTCTCAATATCCATGTCCTCCTACAATTTGGACGCTGAAAAGGATGTGTGTTGGAATCCAGATCTTGAGGAGCACCTTCCTTTGTATGTGTGAATATTTCTGGTCTTCAATTGGCATCAGGAAATGCTTCTGCTTGTGCTGTCGAGGGACATGGTATCTTGGTCTTCACTGTCATATCTCCTACTTGTCTCCTTGAAGTGGCAAACCAACTGTTCCTAGAGCCAAGCATCCCTTGGCTCTTCTCCTACTCTTCTGTATTGAGAAGTTGACGGTATGATGCCAGAGAGCTCCGTGATCCCATAAAACACCTCTCCCGATATGCGTCTTGCATCGGATGGTGATGGTCTTAATCTCCGGTCTCAGTGAGGTGTGGGTTCCACCACCTAATGGGAGGCAATGCATGGGAGCATCCATCCCTGGAGCTCAAGTTCAGTGCACAATGGAGGATTACAACAAGTTTCTTGCATGAAAACGATGGTGCTGCCTTTTTCTTGGTTGTTTTCTTCCTTTGTTTCTTTGACTCGGGCTTCAGATTTGCACCAACACCTCACCTCCCGTATGAGCATCTGCTGCGACCCAAAACTCTAAGATGTGTTTCTGGGTGATGGGACGGACGTCTCAAGTGTACAACCAACAGCATGATGACAGCAAGGAGGAAGAGGAATGATGCAAACTGATAGTGCTAGATAGTGATGGTGGCAAATGGTGAAGAGGAAATGGAACTGATTGCAAATGGGGTCACGAGATATTCCTTGTATATTTGGCCACCCAAAAAAGAAGGATTTAAGGGTCCCAATTGGAGATTGTAGGGATGTTCTACTTACCGAGGGGGTTCAGTTCTCCCAAGTTGGGCTGCGGTGGAGCACTTCACCACATGGTTCCCCTCTCACTTGGTTTATGTTTCCTGAGAAGTCAATCTTCTTCCGTGAGTTCCGTCATGGAACACTCGCCTCCCCGAGTGCTTGGTTGAGTCCCCCTTCACTTATTGGAGCTGCAAGTCAACCCTCCATCCATAAATACTTCAACCAAATGTGGCCACAGAAAGAAGCACACCAGTTCATCAAATAGCAGAAAGGAAAGCAGTAACCTTTAGTTCAGATGATGCAGTCTCTTTCCAAGATCACTAATAATGGCCAACCAAATCAGCTGCTATTGAGCTTGTATATCATTTTCGTTCTATCAGCGTTAGTTCATCTTGAACATTCAGCCGAACTGCCCAATGAGTTCTGAAGATTGAAGTCTTTGATGTGTTTGCTTGAAGCTGTTTGCCAGAAATTTCATCATCTGCAGCTGTTCTTCTTGGTTGACGCGTAAAAGTGGCCTCTTTCGGTGGGACTAGTCTTCTCCTTTCCGCCACCTCCTATGTTGTGATCCGTCCTTCTCACCTTCTCGCTCTGGTGGCCCGCAGCACCAACCGGTCCGTTGGCGGACCAAGAGACGCAGAACGCTCATGCATTTCATGTGCTGCAATCTTCTCACCATGAAGTCGGCTGAACCCACAGTCTCCTAAACAAAATTCTCATCGGTCTGTTGGTAATCCTTTGAGCGAAGCATTGTTGGGATCCAAGGAGGGTCAATTTAATGCAAGTAGAGTCAATGACCGTCGAAAAGGTACGATCTTATTGTGATGCCAAAGCCCATTCTGTTTTGTTGGGATTGGTTCTTCTGAGAATAAAGAACAGAGATTTCAGAGTTTCTCGACCTCTAATATGTTTCTGGTTGCAGGCATTATTTTGCTGTAGTTCACAGAAACAGGGATCAGCTACATGAATCATTTACTACCATCATCTATGTTCTCGAGGCCAACGTTGCCTTGGATCAAAGGAAATCAAAGATTCCAGATGTTAATCCACCACGTAGAATTGTGTTAAACTGGTGCTAAATCATAAACGGATGGAAAGTAGGAAATGGATGAACATTCACATTTGGTAGTGATAATTGAATGGCTGAAGGTTCAGTTGCTTTCGAGTTTGGTGATTCTCTGGCTGATGAAGCTGGAATGGTTCCTCAAGTGAAGATTGCATATCTAACTATTAATGGCCAGAGGTACCTCCCACCTGCCATGACTGAGAGGATGAAATGATCTTAAAGCTTGTAGGTGGTAGTACAATTTGATCTGGCACAAACATTAGGGAATATGATGTTTACAAACATAATTTACAATTGAGAATGGAGAATGGAGAAGATGACAATTGAGAGGAAATGCTACTGCAACTGTGAGGATTTACAAGCAGGATGGGGACATGGCATGATTACAAGATCAACCAGAAGGGAAATCTTTCTGGCAGAAAGAAAGGAATTCCAGGCTGCTTCAAAATAGAGATTGTGATAATTCAACTATGCTTCAGAGACTTCTAAATGGCAGCAGATTAAAGTTCAGTGAAGTAGTAGTTACTGAGTGCTGCGAGGAAAGATGCTGGTTTCCTGAAACTATGGAAGATTGCTAATTCTTGAGATCCGATCTAACACATTTAGTTTCTATGATTTATGTTCTCATCACTCAAGCTTAGAATTATAACCTTACTTCTCTCTCTCTCTCTCTCTCTCTCTCTCGTTCCTAGAGTTAGAAATTGTGAGGTTTCATTCTATCGTTATCATGTCTTTCTCCTTGGTGGCTTCACTGGGGAGGGCAACTCATCCTAGGTTTGTCCCTCGTCCTTCGTATAAGTCTCCTACCCGACCTCTTCCAAAAAAATCATCCTAATATAGCTTCTATAGCTCTCTTTCTGGGATGACCTCAGTTATGAGTGTCAGAGCAACCTCTTCTGTGACCCTTCCAGAACCTCTTTTCAAGGAGGCCAAACTCTCTAAATGGCGTTGACCATAGCAGTTCAGGCTCGTGGGATGTTTTTTAGATGTGGTTGTCCGATCGGTAACAATCAAACTTTGGTAGGTTTTCGAACTCCGGCCATCATAGATATATAGGCAAATATATTTTTTTCTTTTTTGTTTCTTCTCTTAGAAGGATGCCCTTAGGATCTTTACTAAGGATCCCTGATCCGTTAAATGAGAACTTTTTAATCTCTTATATTGGAGACCTAATTTTTAGCTCTTACATAATATTTTTAGAGTTTATATTGAAATAGATCTCATTGTGCTTTTGAAATAAGGGTTGTGGACTGATAATCCTCTCGACGACTTCTTTCAGGTAGTTTTCTATGAAAATCTATTGGTTATCTTCGACGTAGGTATATCAATCATCAAGTGTGGATGTACCATGTTGGTATGACAGTGTTGGGCTGATTCAACCCATAGTGGGCTTTAACAGCCCACAACCCACTTCCTCACTTAACTTAACCCTAATTCATATTAGGGGGGTGTTATGGCTATAAAAATAGATAAAAAAGTATCAAAGAGGTAATTTTTAGTAGCCACGGGATTCCAAAGAAAATGAGGAGAACAAGGCTGAAAATGAAGAGAAAGAAAAGGAAGAAAATAAGGACAATACAGAGAGATTGTTCTCAATCATCTAACAGTGCTTTCATCTCAGGTTTGATCAGATATATAGTAGATTCTTACTGTGATTACTTAGAAAAAATTAGGGAGGATTTAGATATTGTGCACAGTGACATGATCCTTGTATCCCAGTTATTTTTTTGTGATTGTTACTAAGATTTTAGGTAAGAGATTGAGATTTATATATTCATTATTATTATAGTGGATTATCTCTAGTTTGTCCCGTGGTTTTTACCCTTCACATTGAAGGGGTTTTCTACGTATATCTTAGTGTTCTATTTGATTATGATTCTATTTAATTCTGCTGTGTGTTATGGCCTGCTAGTATTTATTCATATACAAAAGTTATTTCTCTTTATATCCCACCAGACAGGGCCTAGTTCCAACGAAAATACCCAACTAAAGGAGATCCTCTTTGGACCCTAGATACATACCCAAAAGAGAGCTCTCATCCATTGGAGTAGGACTAAGCCATAGAGCCAGAGAAATTAACAGGATAATGAGAAGGTCATTTTTTATAGGGTTGTTACTCTATTACACTCTTTAATGATGTAAAACCAGCCTAAAAGAAATAATAGCATAGAGCATATCCTTGTGAAATGGGTTTTATCTATCGGGGATTTCTTCAAACTTTATTATAATGTGTCTTGGGACCAAAATCAGATGAGAATGTGTTTTTATCTGAAGGAGCTTTGATGTTTGTTGTATGTCTTATGATCGTAGGAGATTGAAGGGGATTTACGGCCTATTGTGTGAAGCTTAGGCTATTCAGGAGGGAATGTTGAATGCTTTGGATATTGGGGATTTCTTATTTGATCATCGAGTCATTAAACACCTGAGGGAGTGTATTAGACAGACAGATAAACATTATCTTTGTCAGTCTGTCTAATATACTCCCTCAGGTGTTTAGTAGATGTGGTCTTAATGAATGCCAAAGGCAGATTGCTTTTGTTTCCTTCTTCTATCTGCTACATTTCACTTCCTATTCGATGAAATGGATGGTAGGAAATCTTCCCCCGTTCTTCCTCGGAGGAAAAGAAAGAGGAAAGAAGAGAGAATAAATGGGTGATGAGTCTCAGCTGGATGAACAGCTCTTCTGATCCACCTGAATTCTCCAACAGGTGAGAAGTTCCTCTCCTTAGTGGGTTGGTTGATGATGATGTTTAATTAATTTGGAGCCTGTGATCCAACAATTGATTGATCACCAAACCTCGATCAAATGAGAAGAGACTTGCAAGTCTCAACTTTCTTGCACTGGAAACAAACACCTCCCTAGTTGCTCACCAAACCTTAATTAGTGGCGTATATATCGTCTTCTTCCCAAGTCACTGCCATTTCTGCTAAGTTGTAATCTATTTCATGTTCCAAAGTGCCATCAGATGAAAGCACTGATCGATCTAGACCATCTAATTAGCTCTATAAACACTTTCAAGTGCTTACAGTAATAACTTCTATGTGATGCCTGACACACCTCCCAGAGTTGTGCAGAACTGATATCCTACCTATCCAAACCTAAAAGCGAACAGAAGAATCCAATAAGACTACTACTAAGCATCAAACCCCTGCTATGGATCAACTCCATACTCTATTAGGTACGTTTCTGGTCTGCAACACTTCTTTTCCATAGATTTCTTCCGGGCAACTGCACTAACATCTATAGATCAATTAGTCATGTCCTCATGATTAGAAGAGCCTTCTGCAGTGCCTGATTGCTTTCTTCAAGGCTTGTGACGATGGGAGTAATTCGAGTATGGCTTCTTCTGATGTCGATCATGGCTCTTGCGGTTCCGGAAGCCTGTTCTGAGCTAAATGGCCTGAGATTAGAGCTCGCCCATGTGGACTCCAATGGCAACTTCTCAAAACTTGAGCTGCTCCAACGAGCAGCGCTGCGGAGCAACCACAGGATGGCAAGGTTGACAGCTGCAGCGTCTGGCAACAAAGTCCAAGCTCCGGTCCACGCCGGCAGCGGCGAGTTCCTCATGGACTTGGCCATTGGCACGCCTGGTCTTGCCTTCTCGGCCATCATCGACACTGGGAGCGACCTCATATGGACGCAGTGCAAGCCCTGCGTGGAGTGCTTCAGCCAACCTACTCCAGTATTCGATCCCTCGAGCTCGTCCACGTTCACGAAGCTGCCATGCTCCAGCAACTTGTGCCAGGCTCTCCCTACCTTCAGATGCGGCGCCTCCGGCTGTGAGTACCTGTACTCTTATGGCGACTCCTCATCGACTCAAGGTGTTCTTGCAGGTGAAACCTTCACGTTTGGGACTGCGAACCCGACTTCGGTGTCCAACATCGCCTTCGGCTGCGGCGACACAAATCAAGGCAGCGGCTTCTCTCAGGCCTCGGGTCTCGTGGGTCTCGGTCGTGGACCGCTGTCGTTGATATCCCAACTAGGCCTAGGGAAGTTCTCCTACTGCCTCACCTCCTTAGACGAATCCAAGAATAGCCCTCTTCTGTTTGGCTCACTAGCTGATCTCGGTGCAACCGCAGTCCGATCCACACCTCTACGGAAGAACCCTACACAGCCATCCTTCTACTATGTCAGCCTCGAAGGCATAACAGTGGGCGGGACTCGCCTGCAAATCCCCAGCTCTACGTTCGCTCTGCAGGAAGACGGAACCGGCGGCTTGATCATCGACTCCGGCACCTCCATCACCTACTTGGAACTCGCTGGCTACAGGCAGCTGAAGAAGGCCTTCCTGTCTGAGATGCAACTCCCGGTTGCCGATGGATCCGAAACCGGTCTCGATCTTTGTTTCTCGCTGCCGTCGGGGTCGTCGACGGTGGAGGTTCCCAAGCTGACGTTCCACTTTGACGGAGCCGATTTGGATTTGCCGGCGCAGAACTTCATGATCATGGATTCAACCACCGGTTTGCTGTGCCTAACAATCATGGCATCCAGTGGCTTGTCCATCCTCGGCAACTTCCAGCAACAAAACATACAGATACTCTACGATCTGAAGAAGGAAGTCTTGTCTTTCGTGCCAACCCAGTGTGATCAGCTGTGAATTGCTTCTGTAGATAGGGCATATATATGTTCCTTGGGATTGTATGTGCTGCTTCTGCTTTCTGTGGTTAATGTAATTAATTGATGCTTAATGAAGTTATCATTTTTTTTCCGTGGTCGATCTCAGTTAATAAATTTGATGAATAGTCTTCGAAATATTACAAATAATTTGCATAATATAAATCCAACTCTGAAAGACTTAAATCCAACAGCGTACTACGTAATGGACAAACCGACTGTTACATGAAGTAACTCAGAACTGGACATCTCACAGCTTATATTCACGTCGGCAGCCTTCATCCAATCCTTGCCATTGCTAAAGCGTGTCCACCGGCATCTCAAGGATGAGGAGGAGGCAGATGTTTGACCTCTGAGTCACCGACGCGGTTTGGTTCTGTGAGACAGTGGAGCTCCAGCTATTAATTAAGGTTAGTAGTTCGAAGACTGGAAGCTGGCGCCGATCATGACTCCAAGTCTGCCTGCAAGACTAAATTCTCCAAGTTCTTCACAGGTCCAGCTTACAGAGACCATCCTCTCCCCAGTGTCCATCCAAAGACTGGCTGCTGGAGTCGCTTCCAGTGTCGTCTGATACCTCTGAAGACGATGATGAGCCCGAAGGAAAAAGGGAGTGAGGTTTGTGTCACGCACCCGTCTCCAAAGTGTATGGATTACGAAATCCACCGTGAGTAATCTACTAATGGAAGAAGGTTTCGAAGAGTAATCTACTGAAGGGAGTGAGGATTACTCTTCCAGTCTAATCACAGTCACGGAACACAATCTATTAATCATGTAAATGCATGCAGTCAACCTTATTACCAAGGTTCCAATGTGCAGTAAAGGTAAGAAACCTACCCAATTGATTGAAGATATCATTGTCACTCCTTAAATGAATGTGAACATAACGTACGGCATATAAGTTGATCCCATTGACCATAACATATAAAAATTATATGGAATTAACTTTCGAGATTGTAAATATTATCAATCAAGAAAGACACATCCAAAAGACCCAATGAAACAATTCTTTTTGGACATTTGAAAGATCATAAATTATCACGGTTGGGGCAAGTCTTTGACCCTTAGCGGTCATAATTATTGCACCGTGGTCACCTTTTGGACCAAGAAAACCTCTCAGCTTTCGCCTTTCACGTGCAACTACCCCTGTCGCACGTGCCGAAGGCGGATCTAAGATCCGATATCGTTGCCGCCTCCAACAGCCAACCAATCATGCCCGAATCCGATGGTCCGGAGCGCCACCGAGTCTCCTGGAGTGGAGGATCTAATATACTTTTTGTAAAGAAACCAAATCTTACAAGCTGCGCCATCGCCGTTGGTTTCAGATCCAAACATCCTATATTGCAATTAAGATCTGGTCACCGGTAGGTGGGTGCAACAAGATTCTCTCCCCGAGCGGTTCCCCTTTTAAATCCTTCCCGTTTCTCTGCTCTGCTCTGCTCTGTTTCGCCATGGCTTGCAGAGGGAGTTGATCGAGATGGAGTCGAAGAAGGGTAAGCTCATTCGCACGCAGTCGTCCCTCCTTCGGTCCCCCGTCGCCCGATCCTCCATCCAGAGCATCTTCTCCGTGACCGAGGCCAACGACGATGAGGAGAAGCCCCAACGCCCTCGCCGCCGGCGGAATCGCCACCGCCACCACCTGCTGCTCCTTCTCCCTCTCCTAGTATTTCTCCTCTTCTTTTACCTCAGGCAGGACTCTCCTGTCTTCGCAAACCTCCTCCTCTTCGCCGCCCTCATCTCGCTCGCCTCCCTCGCCGCCCGCCACTCCCGCGTCTTCGTCACCCGCCGCGCCTCTTCCGTGGACTGGTTCATCGGCGACGACGACGGCCGTGGCCGCCACCGGTCCGAGAAGAAGGAAAACCCCAACGGAAGGGCCGTCCGCGAGGGGGTGGAGGTCTACAGCAACGGGGACTCCTACGAAGGCGAGTTCCACCTGGGCCGGTGCAGCGGCAGCGGCGTGTACCGCTTCTTCGCCGCCAAGGGGAGGTACGAGGGCGATTGGGTCGATGGTAAGTACGACGGCCACGGGATCGAGACCTGGGCGCGGGGGAGCCGGTACCGGGGGCAGTACCGCCACGGCCTCCGCCACGGGTTTGGGGTTTACCGGTTCTACAGCGGGGACAGCTACGCCGGGGAGTGGGCCGGCGGTCAGAGCCACGGGGTCGGCGTGCAGACGTGCTCCGACGGCAGCCGCTACGCCGGGGAGTTCAAGGCCGGCGTCAAGCACGGCCTTGGCTGTTACCATTTCAGGTAATTTTTAGCCTCTTTCTGGCAAAATATTTTTTCTGCTGCTGATAGAATTGTCAAAATAGTTTGCACATTATTAGTGTTGACTGTTCTTAATTACTCTCTGGGGAACACTTTGGAGTGTGAGAGAAGAACACTGCCGTAGTTGATGTGGAAATTGTAGGTCTGTTGAGTCTAACAAATGGAACAGTGGAGTGTGGAGGTGGTAGAAGAGTTCGACCGGTTCAAGTTTCGAATATGAACTGTATATTGCTTGTCTATCTGACGTAATTCTCATAATTCTAACTGGTCTTTCCATTGGGTTAATCTCATGATTGATGTTTGAGTTATATGGAAATGAAAGCATATGAAGTAACTAAAATTCTCCTGTAGATGTCCCAATTGCATTTAGACAAAGAACGACAAAGGCAGCCAACAAGAATATAAAAGTTGTTCTAAACTTATTCAGGTTTGTAAATCTGTCAAGGAAGATATGAACCGGCACAAGATTGGCTATTTCTTGCTGCTAGTCGTGTTCAGAAACTTGTGGGCGAGGGCATGAACTAGTACGCAAGACAACCGTCCAAAGGGTTTCATCAAATTAGGTTAATGAAGTTATGCTTACAGTGACATTTTTAATGTTTGTGGATTGGATGTCTTTTCTGGTTCCCATGCTGCAATTGTCTAGATGCAGGCTTCTAGCTTTTTCCGTCATGTAGTTTGTTGTCTTATTGTTTGCTATAAAACAAGATGCAGTCACTTTCAATATTTTGAAGGACATTTTATCTTTTTTTTCTCTCTCTTAGTAACCACAAATTTTCAGGATTGAACTCTGTTCTGGCTCCTTCACCAACGTAGAAGCTCTATATTTTTCTCCTCATGTTAGACAAAAATACACATCTGCACCTGAAGATTGGTTTAGCTGTTCTGTTGGTGAAAAGATTTCAAATCTTATTGTTTCTCATTCTCCATGTTATTGTTATATTGATCATGTAATTATCATCGGAAGTAACTTCCTGAGTTCTCAAGTCGGTTTTTGTTCTTCAGTGATATGGAACCATTCAGAGATAATTCTGAAATTATATTGACTGCAAGCTTTACATAGTGAAACATCAACCTCGACTTGGTCTAAAATTAGAGTATTCTGTTCGATTGCTAGATCTGGTGTGTAGTCCTAATGATAGAGGTCTTCTGTTGCTGCAGGAATGGTGACCAGTATTCTGGAGAGTATTTTGGTGACAAAATACATGGTTTTGGAGTATATCACTTTGCTAATGGTCACTGCTATGAAGGTTCATGGCATGAGGGCAAGAAACAAGGTTTTGGATTATACACATTCCGGAGTGGTGAGACAAGATCGGGAAACTGGGACTGTGGAGTCCTAAACAACTCTCTCCCCCCATCCGACCCTGCTGTCCAGGGAGCTGTTCAAGTATGCGCGCTTTCAGTTTCACTAACCTTTGCTATCTTCTGATACATTTTACAATCTAAAATTTCAAACATGTTCCGATGGATCAGGCGGCTCGGAAGGCTGCGGAGAAAGCTGTTCTTATTCCGCAGGTCGATGATCAAGTAACCAGGGCAGTAACTGCTGCAAATAGAGCAGCCACTGCGGCTCGAGTCGCTGCTATCAAAGCTGTGCAGAACCAGATGCATGGCAAGCTCTGTGACACTGATGTTTAAGTTCCAGCTTTTACACAAATTGTACATTTAACTACTAGACTGCCAGTGCCCAAGTTAGCGACCGGATAGGGAATCACCCACCTGAGTCGGAAACTAAGAGAGAAGCTTACAACATCAGACATTTGGTGTCACATGTAAACACCATGCTCTGCTCACAAATGAGAGATGTACATAACTCCTCATGTATATGATCTGAATTTGAGTTCACAGAGTAATTTCAAGTATCATGTTCTCACAGTTTCACTTGTACAGTCCCCAAACAAGTCTATCATTGGAGAGTATGTCCCATGTGCTTTTATGTGCTTGTATATGGATGTTCACATGGGAAGCAGTAACTTGTCTCGAGAACCTTTGGCATCTTATATGTCTTTTAGGAACTCCTGAGTTGATTCAATCATTCTTTCGGTCTTGGTTTCTGCATCTGTACCATACTATATTCCAACTTCTGCTCTCACAGTAGTTGCGTGTTGCCCGCTCGATGTTATAGGGTCATAGTATTCAGAAGCCCAGAGTAAAAAGGGTGTGTTCTAACTATTGTCATGAACTACTTTTCTCTCAAAAAGTTGTCTTTGCACCATTTCCCATCCAAAGGTTTCTTTATAAGCCAACAGTTCCCACCTGCATTCCTGTTCGTTAGAAATGGTGGAGGCATGCTTGGGTGACATGATTGAACTTGTTTTGATTAGACTACTGTATGAACAGAGTGGGCAATTACGACTCTCTAGTTTATCCTCATGATCTGTTCATAAATGTTACAAAACAAGAAATTTCGCAAAGCATTTTATGTTTGATGTCCTTCGGTACCCAACTCTATCTGGAGGGTAATTAATGAAGGTGTGCGAGTCATTACATTTTGTACTCGGTTGCTGTTGATTCATATGATCTTATTCGGCGTGATTTCTAGAAATCATGTGAAGCAACACTTGCAAATAACGTCAGGTTATTTGCCAGCAATTAATGATGAGACGAGTGCAGAATTATTGCGAGGAAGGCGTGAGGAAGACCATCTTGATTTTGATTGTAGGATGATGACATTGTTGAGATAACGAAAGGTTCATAGTAGGGATGATAAGCCTGTAGAAAATGTTGTGGTGCTGATGTTGGCAAGGTTGACCAATCTTTGTATATTTGCTGACATGATGTTTGCTTCGATGAGCACTAACTGAGAGTCCCATTTGTTGCCCTATT